TGCAAGTTGCCCAGGATGACCTTCCTTCAGTGTCTAAATGGTGTAACATAATATAACATTGCTTGGGGATACCTTTCTGCTGGCATGGTTAACAGTTTGACCCAGTATTTAATACATTTAGTCATATAAGACGCATAAAGAGGGAGTTCGTCACATTTTGATTTAAGCAGGCTACTCTTTTGCAAAAACGGACATGAATTTGTTCAACTTTTGCGCACTGTTGAAATCCCCATATTTCTGCTGCATATATTAAAATCGGTTTCACAGTTGCATCGAACAGTTTAAAGGCTTCTTGATAATCAAAATATCCAAATAATAATCATTTGATATATATATATATATCAAATGATTATTATATATATATATATATATATATATATATATATATATATATATATATATATATATATATATAAGTGGAGGATGGAATTATAAGATTAAATATATCAATAGTCAAGTCATCTATTCTAATGGCTTTGATTTAAAAAATTGGGCAATAACCTTCTTGTAATTTCCTGCCACGCCTTCATTTTTGCCTCATTGGTTTTGCAAACAAAAATTTCTTAGATTCCAATCACCTGTTCTCACAAAAAGATGTAAAGAAATGTATGAAAAGCAATCTCTGTGAACAAAATTTAACCAAAAAGACCATGTTTTATTTTTTGGGATAACTCTCTGGTAAACTCTGAGAATTCTGTTTGAGTTTCTTAAATATCATCAAGAAAATTACAGGTAAAAATCATACTTCTCACCATTCCTTTCTCACAGTACCAATCGAAGTTATCTGTGATTTCCTTCTATAACTCCTAAAATTCATTATTAGTAATACATAGAAAACTAATTACATTATAGGCAAAAGGGTCTGTAAACTCAAAATTGAATTTGACAGGGTCAAAAGATGCTATATTGAGAACAGATTGATTTTTTTCAATTTCCTTTGCCATTGATAATAATCTGGTTTGGACTTCAAAGAAAAGTATTGTTTTGTCAATTTTGTCATTACTCCCAGAATAACCATTTTCCCCCCATTTGCAGGTTGTTTTTCTTTACTTAAAATCTTGTTGACGTTTTAAGGCTGTTGAATCCTCTTCAGTGTTCTTTTGGAATGTTTTCTTGTGGTTCATCATTTTTAACAAAATTTTAGATGGATCACAGTTGGATTTTATTATCAAAGTGCCCAAATATGCAAGTACAACACAAAATTTTGTTTCAGTACCTTCTTCCAATTAAGCCAAATAACATAGCTCATGCTGAGAAACATAAGTCCCAAATTAAAAAAGAACAGATAAATGCAAATGCAAGTTCGTTGTACAGCACAAACTTTGGTGGAGCCTTTTTCAAGGCAAAAGCTAGCAAAGAAAAGAAAGGATGTAGCTTAAAAATGGAAAGCAAGAAAGCAACCAACATGCAATATGTAAAATTGTCAGCATCAGTTCTTGACCTTTTCTTTTTCAGCCTTGTAAGGTGTTCTGTGTTGGTGTAATCTTGGTATAACGTAGCAAGCTCTGTGATATGCTTCAACTGGCCCATCTTGCAAATGAACACATCGTAGCATGCATCTTTGCAAATATATATCAGCTGCTTTTTTTAAATGTATCCCAGCTTACAGATATGAAAGACGTTAACTTTCCAGAAATCCCTTCTTTGTGACATAAACACTGAAGGGATGTCTTATCACATGACTGCATGGTTCACTTAAAACAATAAAATAGTTAAATGTCATAGAGTGTTATTGTAGGTGAATGTATTATGCATGGTTAAAATATAATAAGGAAGCAGTGATAATTATGCAGGTTATTATATATATATATATATAATCAAAGATTAAAAATTTGAATAGCAGCTTCATTGAAATTATATTTACCTCAGGCTCTGCCAAGGAGGTTATATTTTCACCCCTGTTTGTCTGTCATCAACATAACTCAAAAAGTTATGGACCGATTTTGCTGAAATTTTCAGGAACTGTCAGAATTGGGCCAAAGAGGACAATGATTAGTTTTTAGTGGTGGTCTGGCTCAATAATCAATCAATAATCAATAATAATCAACAATTGCTGCCTTGGCAGAGGTCTGCACTCTCGGTGGTTTTCTAGTTTTGTTATGTTTTCCTTTACAATTTTTTCTCAAACACTTGCATTTGTGACTTTTAACTCTCATCCGCTCGAGGCTCTGCACATTTTCTGTATTTCCACATAAGCAATTGTATTGTTTTTTATGTCTTTAAACATTATATAATATTATTTTATGCACTGTCATCATTTTTCAAATATTGAGACTTTCATCATGTGACTTTGGTCTCTCATGGTCCTGAAACTGTAATCTTATTGAAGGGGTGGATTGAGACCATCTTCTGGGTCTTCTGGAAGACAGGTTATTAAGTTTATATTGACTGGTATCTATTTTTTTCTGTTGGAAGACCATCAAAATGGAGGATGGATCAACATAGATTCTTTGGAATACTGTCAGAAAATATCTCAGGGTCCGCTCCTGTTATTGACCATGTTACCTGTTGTGCATGATTAAAATTCAGTGTTGACTGACAGTGCTATTATAAGCATTATTTATTATTGCATCAAAATTGACAAAATGACCTTTTTTTAAATCTTTATTTTCTGTTTTTTGTCTGTACATTTGACAGCTTTGCTGCCTTGTTTCAGAATCCAACTAATAACTTCACTTACATTTTAGTTATGGTGTCATCAATGCATTTTGAAATAGGATCTGTTGAACCCTCCACCAGTTCCATTTGAACCTGACTGTCACTAGCCACATCATTTCCATTGTTATTATCACTACCAGTAGCTACATCATTTTCATTGACATTATCACTAGCTCCATCATTTTCATTGATATTACTGAAAAGAGTAGCAGGGATGAGAGTGGCCTATGATCAAAAAAGTGGAAAACTTAACATTGAGGGAGCGAAGCGACCAAAGGGGGAGTGTGCGAGTTGGAGTGTCCCCCTTTACCGGGAAAATTTTTCAGATTTTAGGGGACAAAATATGCATTCTGAGGACTTTTGAGGTACCTTTTATGGAGATTAAACTACAGTTGAAACAAGGCAGCAAAGCTGTCAAATGTATAGACAAAAAGCAGAAAATAAAGATGCAGAAAATAGGCGATTTTTTCAGGAGTAGGTAACCTTTTCAATCACCAATATTGTGGGATGACAAGGAATAAAAAGTGCATACAGGTAATGGTTTTAAATTTGATTTGTGCAGAAGCAAATTCAGTGGTTATAACATTTAGGTTAGAATATCATGAAATGTTGCTACATAGAAATATCACTAGAATGGATAAAAATCAAAGCCCATTCCCACCAAGCAGTAGACCTTCAAACCACTACCATACGTTAGTATTTGTTAGGGTAAGTTTCATAATCATGTCCAGCAGCTAGCAGCTATTTTTTATTATGTACATGTTTTGCTTAACCTTTGAGGGCGTCATTGGCTGTATTCTAATAAAACTGCATCTTCATGTACTCTTAGTAGGCACAGTTCTTTAGAGAAGATTTTTTCATGAAAAGAACTGTAGTCTGTAGGAAGTACTTATTTGTTCACTATTTTCAATCAATATGGTTTAACAGACAGCTAGCCTTAAAAATTGATTGAGAAACTTAACCCCACAGACATGCCAGACAGAGACAACATCTGCTGTACTTACAATAAGATAGCTGAAATTATCAAAAAAAAAAAAAATATATATATATATATACATATATATAATTTCCAGATAGGTCTGACCAATACTCAATGTTTCTTTTAATAATAATAATAATAATAATAATTGAATTTATTTTAAGTCTAAAATCCATTATAAAATGTTCAGAAGACTTTACATATATATATATATTTAGTTAAGAAATCGATTTTCAAGAATAAATAGGTGTAAAATTACAAAGTTAAATAACAAAAAAATTAGGAGTATTCAATATAAAACATACTAANTACGTGGCCCTTACCGTCTAGGAGGAGAAGCAGTAACGGTAACATGGCGGCGGAGCCGGCAGAACGGACCGGACGGGACTAAAACCATGTGTACCGCCAGCGCCAACGTTGGTGGTACAATAAACACATACAGTGACAATAAAGACATAGACAGTGATCAGAATACATATAGACACATTCAATGTCTCAACAGACAATGCAAAGGTATGGAATGCCATTCACGCAAAAAATACACCACGCAATTTAAGAGTGTATTTTTTTTTCAAAAGTGTATTTTTTTCTAACAATGTAGTCGGATCATTTAATAATGTAGTCCCGTAATCTTATAAAATACACCACGCAATTTAAGAGTGTATTTTTTTTCAAAAGTGTATTTTTTTCTAACAATGTAGTCGGATCATTTAATAATGTAGTCCCGTAATCTTATAATGTAGTACCACTCGTCAAAAGTGTAACGTTGCGCCAAAAGTTTAATCCCGCAAGAATAGTAATGACATCATTAGACACCAGATGGCGCAGCGATCTGTTGTTGTATTATCTGTTGGCTATCTTGGAAAAGCGCCACCTATCGTGAGGTCCGCAACTCAATGCGGAGAATTCAGTATCCATGATCAGCAAATCTGAGAGCCACGTGCGGTTTGAGACAGACCTGGGCGGACAATTTACGGTTTTACCTGCCACTATTTCCTTAGGACTCAATATACTCAACCTTTGTAGCTGGTATCCAGCAGCTGAGAGTAAGAATTGGGGGACGCTGAAGTAGTGGTTATTGCTCGTACAGGAAAAAACCCAGTCCAGAGTAAGGTAAGCTGCTTTCACCTACGGCGCCTTGGACTTTGGTGTTACGGCCGCCTAAGTGTTTTACTCTTCATTAGACTCGGGGAACCAGTCCATGTCATTCAAACCACTTTACAATAGTGACATACGGCTTCCGCCTGACAAATTTGTCTCATTATATAGTATACAACATGATATATGGAAACTTATATGTTTCAGGGTAAAAAAGCATTTAGCTGTGTGTGGAGTCTGTCTAGCCAGTAAACTGNTGAGAGCCACGTGCGGTTTGAGACAGACCTGGGCGGACAATTTACGGTTTTACCTGCCACTATTTCCTTAGGACTCAATATACTCAACCTTTGTAGCTGGTATCCAGCAGCTGAGAGTAAGAATTGGGGGACGCTGAAGTAGTGGTTATTGCTCGTACAGGAAAAAACCCAGTCCAGAGTAAGGTAAGCTGCTTTCACCTACGGCGCCTTGGACTTTGGTGTTACGGCCGCCTAAGTGTTTTACTCTTCATTAGACTCGGGGAACCAGTCCATGTCATTCAAACCACTTTACAATAGTGACATACGGCTTCCGCCTGACAAATTTGTCTCATTATATAGTATACAACATGATATATGGAAACTTATATGTTTCAGGGTAAAAAAGCATTTAGCTGTGTGTGGAGTCTGTCTAGCCAGTAAACTGTGACAACAGAAGCTACAGGACTTATTGTTGTTGTAGGGCAGGCCTGAAAAAAATTATAAAAATCAAATTTCTTAATCTTATTTATAAAAAAATAAATGGCCTTTTCGCTTGCCTTCCATTTACATGATTTGGCCATACTGATAGCTGGCTACCTGTGGTAACTGGCATATAATTAGACTAATATTGAGCTGGGGGCCTAATAAATAAATTAGGCTTATCTGGAGCCGGCAAGTAGAGGCCTACACTTCACTACATTATTAACAAGAAAATAATAAACTCACCTTTTCTTAGTTTATGTAGGGAGCACAGACGTCCCTAGGTGGCGCTAATTGTTCGATTACGCGAACCACCATAAAAGCTGTCCCTAGAGTGTCAGATTTCAACCCCTTCTTACAATGCACGGCGTGTCTCAACTACTGCATCGGGAACAGCCTAACTTTGACACGTGATAAAGAACAGCTGTTTCTTCCTATTTTACTTTGTTTACGTGACCTACAAGAGGTCAGAAGTGAAAATTCTAAGGGCAAACTTTTGAACTGAATATTTTTTAAAAGGCGGCAAAGGGCATCAAGAAGATGTATACATGTATGCCATGTAGAAGAACAAAGACTAAGGTTTTTTACCAGGGGAAATTGGGGCAAATATTTTTTTGGTAATTTTTTTTCCATGCACCCCCCCCCCCCCCCCCCCCTCTTAGACACACACTTTCACGCCTGTTGTACCTAGTCTGCGAGGTCAAGTTTTACTGCGTACGCTTTACTCAAGTTAGTAGAGAGCGTGTGCATATATCAGTTAGAAGTGATAATAACTCTGCTTAGGAAAATGCTAGAACAAAAATTTAAACTACGTGTTAATGCCCAACTCCTATACTTATTTTGTGCCAAATTTCAAAAGTCTGTGACAATATTAAGGAGATAAAAAATGTTAGTCTTGTTTATGAATACACAGATTTTCTAGCTTTTGCCCACCAAAAATCGTTCATTTTGCCTAGTTCACATGCACATAACTCTGCTTTGGAAAATGTTTGTGATAAATATTAAGGGGATGAAAAATGATGGGGGCAACTTTTGACTCATTTTCGAAAATGGCGCAGAAAAAAAAAAGGATAAACATAGTGTCACTAAAACAAACTTATGATCTAAATAAAATAGATAAAAAATGTAAACGTTTTTTTCATACTAAAATATGTCGCACCAAATTTCAAGTCTGTAGCTCAATTAGAAAAAATCATGTGTGCTCCCTAGTATATACCCATGTACACATATCTTATTTCATGTCTTTGACTTTTATTTTTAGGCCTAGCCAGGACCTAGTCCTAGCTTTATAAACCAGTCATACTCATAGGCCATATTAAGTAGTAGGCCATAGGCCTAGGTAGTAGGGGGAAGGGCATTATGCCTGTAGTCTGTATTGCTGGTCAACTTTGTCCAATAAAGTAGATTAGAACATCTTTCTTTGACTAGCTGAAAGAATTGAGACAAAAAACGAAGATAGCTTTATGTGAGATTCATATAACATATCTGACAGGGATTGACCAGTAACTGTGAAAATTCAGTAATCTAATTCATGTAGGCCTAAATCACATTGAAATCCTGAAAGTGTGGTGCATAACTCTCCAAGCCTCGATGTTCTTTTTAATTCCAATTTTTCTTACTCTTCATTCTTTTTTAGGACTGATGCAACACCATGGAATCAAGAGAAATCCATACTGAAGTAACTCGACGATTTGAAAATTTGCTGCAGCAGGTTACTTCTGGAACAGATATTGTAGCTATTGACAGGCAGTTGGAGTGTTTATGTAGGGACCTTATATATGAGTACAGGAGGCACATAATTGTCTCGGAGGATATCATCGAGATATGCCTCAAGGCATATTCTTTAGCTCGACAACAAATTTCAACAGGATCTGATGAAAACATCCAGAGTTTTCAGGCTGTCGAAGAGCAAAATACTGGAATGAGGGGTCGTCCTAGATTCATAATAGGAAAGGAGCAACTGGAATCTTTATTAGGTGAGGCTTGCTAATGTCCTTGATTCAATTTTGTCTGAAAATCAATAAGAAATGCACCAGTCAGAATTTGAGCAATGCCAGTATAAGTATATTTTTCCTTTTTATTTTTTCTTTCAGGAAATAGATTTACAGTTCCAGAAATTGCAAAACTGTATCAGGTATCACCTCGCACAATATCATATCGTATGAATCAATTCAACTTGTCAGTCCGAAACCAGTACACAGACATTCAAGATGACCTGCTTCAATCAGAAATATCACGGATCATTTCGCTTTTTCCAAATGCAGGTGAGGATCTAAAATAAGTCAAGAAGGTGAATTTCTTGGTAGAGAATAGAGCATTAAAAACTTTGTTAATGTGCTGCTATACACGTAAATCTGTCCTGATGTTTGAGCTTTTTCTATTTTAGGTGAGAGAACAATTGAAGGTCATCTTAACTCTCAAAATATATTTGTCCAAAGGAGACGTGTTCGTATAATCATACAGCAGCTAGATCCAAACAGATGTCAGTTACGTAGGTTATCTTCAATTCGACGACGTCAGTACTCGGTTCCATCGCCCCTGGCCCTCTGGCATATAGATGGTAATCATAAGTTAATAAGGTGAGATTATTTGTTAATTCACAAGATAGAATTCAGTTTAAAATGAGGATCATTTAAAAAAATCATGATGTCATATTTTTAAGGGAAATTTATTCCAGACAGGGTGTCACTGCCTGGAAGGATTGTTACTGGGTGATGGTTTTCCCCCCTAAGCGACATACACATTCTGGGAAACATTCCTTCCGATGGCGTTTTTACTGTATTTTAATTGGCCAATATTTATCTTTTACAGATGGCGCTTTGTAGTGCACGCAGGAATTGATGGATATAGTCGGTTAATAGTCTACCTTAAAGCAAGTCCCAATAACCGTTCATCAACAGTCCTTAAAGCCTTTGAAGAAGCTGTTGGTAAATGGGGTCTGCCGTCTCGGGTCAGGGCCGACCTTGGAGTTGAGAATCGGGATGTGGCCTCCTACATGTTAATACACAGAGGCACTGGACGGAGGAGTTTTATCACCGGCAAAAGCGTACACAACTCAAGGATCGAGCGGTTATGGCGAGATGTCTTCGAAGGTGTGCTTAATTCTTTCTATCAACTATTCCATCATCTTGAGGATATAAATGTTCTAGATCCTTCCAGTGATGCAGATATATATGTCCTGCATATTGTCTACCTTGGAAAACTGAACAGCATGCTCACAGAGTTTAGTGAAATGTGGAACCGGCACAAGATAAGAACTGCACAAAATAAGAGTCCACTGCAACTGTTCATAATGGGTATGCACAGGGTTGCACAGGCCGACAATATGGTGGCTTCAGAATATTTCCAACAGGTAACTGTAATTCTTAGCACCCGTATTTCAAGATATTAGTAAGCCATCTTGTAATCAAATCTAACACTGACATTTTGTCATTTATATTACAGTCAGTCCCTCAAGAGTTTGGTGAGGACCCCAACAGTCCACTGGATCCCGAAATAGATGAAGCGGTGGTTATCCCTAACATAACCCCACCATTTGAAAATGAGGAACAAGAAAGACTCTTTGAAGCAAAAAGAGAGGAAGTTTATGAACAATGTCACACAGATAATATGTGGAATCCAAATTACTATATTTTACTAAGAGAAGAACTACATAAAATACTTTCTACTGAGTGATTTTCAGACAAGATTGAATAAACATGTTAAAATCAGAATTCAGAATTTCCAATAAAAATTGGTATTTAAGAAAAGCAGAAAATAATGCACAAAATAGGCTGTCAATTCTGATGCAAAAGGACATTATGCTTAACTGCAAATTTAACATCAAATTATGCTCAAGAGGTAATTCCGATGGAAGTAAAATGTGTAACAAGCGTAAGGCTTCGGGGCCCATGAGAGTTCACACTTTGAAAATGTCAGAATGAGAAAAATGAATTTCACACAAAGTTGCATAAATGCAATAATAAACAATAACCCAATTAAGCTGCCTTTCCAATTTGAGCTGCATGCAAATTATAAAAATCATTCTTGTAAGTTAAAAATAATAACATTTTTCTTTAAATAATGTTTGTAGTAGCAGTGAAAAAAGATTTCCGTCAATTTTAATGTAACATTAAATAATAAATAACAATGATTGTCACTAATTTTTTATTATTGACTGTAAATAGCATGTACAAAATTTGATTACCACTCTGCTTCATGCCCATGTTAAATCCGAGTCCCACAAAGAATATGCCAATACAATAAAAATAAATTTTTCACTAAAATGTTTAACTTCCAGAAAAAGAAGCCAATTAGACTGCTTTACCAACTCGTGCTGCATTCAAGTCCTGGGTTTCTTTTTTGTAAGTTTGACAATCATAAGTAACATGGATTTCCCATAATGGTCATCATGGCAGCAACACCCAAAATTGTGTTTTCTTCTATTTTGATGCAATATTATATAATGCTTAACAGTATGACCATCAACTTTTAATAATAAAATATTAGTAGCATGGATATTCAGAAAATGTGACTTGCAAAGGTCTTTAGCCTATGGAGGTTCAAAGTTGCACCTTGAAAATGCCAAAATGTAAATTAAATAGGAGAGAACTGTATTCAAATGGGTTTTCTTCCATTTTTAACACTTTTTACACAGAAAAAAACAAATTTACTATACTTTTTAAAAGATCAACTAAGAAAATTGTTGAGATGGAGAAAATATCAATAGAACAATGTTAAATGTTCAATTTGCTCCATTCTGAAACTCTAAACATAGTGATCGATTGAATCTGACAGACTGCAATGACACTTATTTATACAATAGATCACAACAGGTTTTACACCATTTTTATATAATCAACTAACAATATTGTAAAGATGCCAAAAATGTCAAACAAAGGGTTTTACGTATCTTATTCTTTAACTAATGACACTGTAAACATGCCTATGAAATGAATCTGAGGAAAAAGCACTTACATTCAAAACAAGGCATAACTTCATCAAAACTGAACCGATCAAGTTGATTTTTGAATTTGATCTGTATATTAGTAAGATTGATCACTCCTGTGAGTTTCATGACAATACGCCATTCGGTTTTCCATGAATTGTGTTTACATTGTTGCATATCTGCTTAGAAGTGATCCACCTGAAGGTACAGCAACTTTTACTTTCCATAAGCCCTGGTTGATGAGCTGCGCTCGCTGAGCTCCTGTCGGTACAGTGTTAACATTTCTCTCGGGGATCACAACGATAGTTTTAGCAAAAGTTTTTTCTGCAAGCAGAATAAAATGACAAATTATTATATTACCAAACCAGCTAACACCTTTACATTTCAAACATTTATATCATCAATATCACTTTTAACATGGATTTGCTAGTGAATGTCAGGTGAAATTGTTACTTGGGCCACACTAAAAAAATGTTTGTTTACACTAACCCGACTTGTCAATTTGAGTTAGGGTAGGTAAGGAAGTTAGGTAGGGAAAAAAGTTTTACATTTTATGGAGGAACCCCATATGAATCCCAGATTCAATGAAATTGCAGGATTTCAGCAAAGTGTTTAATTTTCCAATCCTCCAAAATGGCTAGAAAATGATTCCAGTAGACATTTTTGGGTAACAGCAAACCAACTTTTCATAAGTTTATACCCACGTGTTTCAGTGCGATCAAACGTGTATGGACTGAAACGGCGCCTTCTATTCCTATTCCGTGGTCTAAGTGAGGGGTTAAATGGCAAGGGGTTAAATGCTTCGCCCTGTAAAGATATAGAAATGATTACAAGTAAGCCCAAGTTCTTGGTGCCTGTATACACAATAAAATCCTATTTCTTTATTTCTGGAATTCTGCATCAATTTTCAAAACAATGAGTTCTAACCTACGGAACATAGCATGCTGTGCTTGTAGATGGAAACATATGGTGTTTGCTCAACAAGTAAGTGCAGGCCTTCACTGGCTTTTTCAGGCTTCATTTCTAGCTAGGCCTGCTACTAAACAATGCTAAACTCACACTAAAGATAGGCAAAAATCCCAGAGAATGAGAGATGGACAGATTCACTTCTTCATAATAATGCTTACTTGGCCTACTGTTGTTACTGAACGTGGTGGTGATGATGTTCTTGATGCTGTGGCTGTGCCTGCTGTGATGGCTGTTGTTGTGTTGGGTCCGATTCTGTTGTTGCTGGAGCTCCTCGTCCTCGATCTTGAAAATAACTGCCTGTGTTCTGCAATCCGTTCATTACTTGTTCTTGCNGTTAGATTATACATCTCAATTGGTGTGCATGATTCTTTTGATGTCACAAATTCATTAATTATGTTCAATACAGGTATGTATGACACCTGTGAAATCATTCGAATTAGAAAGAAAAATTAGAACCTTAATGAAGATCAATGATTTATGTAACAGGATACAGGGCACAAAGATTACATGGCACTTTTAGAGTTAATTTTGTATTGTTGCAAGAGTGACCAATCATTTTGTTTAAACCCCCTTTAGACTGGGGCGGCGTCCTTTCTGCGTCCTTTGTGCGACCACGAAACTTTCATCACTGTGGTCGTAGAAAGGAGGCACAAGCATTGCTTTGGTTGAAAAAATGAATATTTGGTGATCAGCCAGGTGTCAGAAAGTTAAGTATTATAATTTTGTACTCTCAAACGGATCCGTACTACAGGACGCAGAAAGGACGCCGTCCAGTGTAAAGGGACCCTTAAAGTGACCTAAAATTACAGGTTTGATATCACAAAAGGGGTTATCACAAGTCCTCTATTGTCAACAATAGGGTCATGGTATCATGGGGACAGTTTGGTTAAAATTGTCCTTGCAGTGAAGACAAAAACCTGGCGAATATTTTTGCTTGGAGGGACAGGAAAAACATATTGATGCCAGGGTGTCCACAAAAACAGGAACACACCTTCATGAATACCTCTTCATGAGGGAGTATATCTAAAGTTGGCTTTTCATTTGTAAACACTTACCTCAATATGAGTTCGCAGCTCAGTAACCTTTACAAGTTTACCACATTCAAGGCAGGTGTCAAACTCTGTGAATGAAGTAGCTCAGAGACAGGCTTTACTTCAATGTTTCGTTGAATCGGTCTGATAAAAATCCTGCCAGAAGTAACCATTTTCAAAGTATCACAAGCACAGTTCCCTGAGGAAAAGACTTCAAGAATTGTCCTTGATCCTTCAGCAGTCTTCAGCAATTCATAAGCATGAACACCTTGTAGTGCTTCAAAAGCACTAAAATGAAAATTGCAGTTTGTCAAAAATAAACTGATAAGATTAAAAAATAAGGTCTGTATGGTTATATCATATCAAAGATCAGGCTGACATGGTTATTAATTTTACTGGTAAAAGCCCAGTAGACGGCAGAATCTTCCTCTAAAGTGCCTGCCCTAACCAGTGATACAAAACTGGTATATCAAAAGCTGTGGTTTGTAATACATGTATTGCAGCAGTGTATTGCAAATAAATCATTTATTACCTTGTTCTATTTGAAAACAGTAGCAGTTCTATTTGAAAACAGTAGCAGGAGTACCGTACCGTAAAAGTAATCTTTTGAGGTCCTGAGGTGATCCACCTGAAGGTACAGCAACTTTTTCTTTCCATAAGCCCTGGTTGATGAGCTGCGCTCGCTGAGCTCCTGTCGGTACAGTGTTAACATTTCTCTTGGGGATCACAACGATAGTTTTAGCAAAAGTTTTTTCTGCAAGCAGAATAAAATGACAAATTATTATATTACCAAACCAGCTAACACCTTAACATTTCAAACATTTATATCATCAATATCACTTTTAACATGGATTTGCTAGTGAATGTCAGGTGAAATTGTTACTTGGGCCACACTAAAAAAATGTTTGTTTACACTAACCCGACTTGTCAATTTGAGTTAGGGTAGGTAAGGAAGTTAGGTAGGGAAAAAAGTTTTACATTTTATGGAGGAACCCCATATGAATCTCAGATTCAATGAAATTGCAGGATTTCAGCAAAGTGTTTAATTTTCCAATCCTCCAAAATGGCTAGAAAATGATTCCAGTAGACATTTTTGGGTAACAGCAAACCAACTTTTCATAAGTTTATACCCACATGTTTCAGTGCGATCAAACGTGTATGGACTGAAACGGCGCCTTCTATTCCTATTCCGTGGTCTAAGTGAGGGGTTAAATGGCAAGGGGTTTAATGCTTCGCCCTGTAAAGATATAGAAATGATTACAAGTAAGCCCAAGTTCTTGGTGCCTGTATACACAATAAAATCCTATTTCTTTATTTCTGGAATTCTGCATCAATTTTCAAAACAATGAGTTCTAACCTACGGAACATAGCATGCTGTGCTTGTAGATGGAAACATATGGTGTTTGCTCAACAAGTAAGTGCAGGCACTGGCTTTTTCAGGCTTCATTTCTAGCTAGGCCTGCTACTAAACAATGCTAAACTCACACTAAAGATAGGCAAAAATCCCAGAGAATGAGAGAAGGACAGATTCACTTCTTCATAATAATGCTTACTTGGCCTACTGTTGTTACTGAACGTGGTGGTGATGATGTTCTTGATGCTGTGGCTGTGCCTGCTGTGATGGCTGTTGTTGTGTTGGGTCCGATTCTGTTGTTGCTGGAGCTCCTCGTCCTCGATCTTGAAAATAACTGCCTGTGTTCTGCAATCCGTTCATTACTTGTTCTTGCTATGGTTGTCACTACTGATGATGTTTCAGTCTCTTCGTCATGTTCCTGGCGCTGCAGCTGCCATAATTCATTTGCCCTTTCCAGAAGCCTACCAATTTCTTCATAGGTTTCTTTTCTACCAGTAGACATGATGACACGTGGTTCCCCGAGACAACA